GAAATTTTATTAGGCTATTCACCCCCTCTCTAGCCACTAGGACCTTTCAACCTGCTATATTTCTGATTTGACATGACTAAAGCACGGCGTGCAAGTCAGAAGCCGGCCTATGGAAGGCAAGATTACCAAAGAAAGACAAGGGAAATTGCGGATGCGTGGTGTTCCATTTTAGATAAGGCAATGTGAATGTATTGCAAAATTGTATTTGAAACATTCGGCTTACATAGCCAAAATTATTATAATCTAGGTGGGGATTCTCCCTCCCTCCCCCCCCCACACACACCCCGACCGACTTTTAAAGCACCACCACTCATCTCTCTGTTTTTTCACTTCCGGGTGATGGAAAGAGTACAGGAGCATGGGATGAATGGACTGATGGGACATCAAGCTTAGACTGGCATACATGTGGTGTGGCTATAACGTCTTTCTTCCTTTGTGAGACAAATTTTAAACGCTACAACGTCAAGTATTCTGGGATGGAGTACGTCGGATGAGTATTTAATTTTGTGGATGCAAGCTTTTGCATGAAAAAATGTACTAAGTCCTTTTTCGAACGAAAAACACGAGGAAGCTAAGTTGACCTTGGTGCTGAGATTGAGCAGAGCCTAGACAAGTCAAAGTTGCGATTAGCCTAGCTGCGACGCTGGCACTGCGCAAAACTGTGAAACAGGCAGGGCAGCTAGCCCTGCATTCATCCATAGGTCCGTAGGCCAGGCCTCGATGGGAGCGGCTACTATACAACGTGCTTGCTGTTCGCTTTCTCGCGAAACGTGAAAAAAGAACAGTAGCATGCAGAATGTGTACACGCTTTTACACGACAGAGAATTCCTGCCTACGTACGCTCGCTTCCTGCAGGATTCAGCAGCCTAACTGGAATACTACTACTACTCCCTATCTCCCTAGCGCTGAGCAGCGCATGCATCCTGTGGATCGACCAGCAGCGCACATCATTTAAGCCTACTACGTACCCTGTTTAGTTTCACTTTATTTTGCTAAATTTTTTCAGATTTTCCGTCACATCGAATCTTTGACATATACATAAAACATTAAATATAAATAAAAAATAAAACTAATTACACAGTTTAGACGAAATCTCACGAGACAAATCTTTTAAATCTAATTAGACTATAATTAGACACTAATTGCCAAATAACAACGAAAAACGTTACTGTTGCATTTTGCAAAAAAATTTGGATCTCAACTGGGCGGCAGACTGCTGGATTCCCCAAACAAAACGTGACGATCGAGCAAACCTAAACGAGGAAAGGAACACGTGACGTGACGAGCTCATGTGTGAAGGTCTTTTTGATTGCTGTGCTCGGCGTACGTACGCCTTCGCCTGTTAGATCCATCCATAATAAATGAAGTTTTGTTAGAACAAAAAAAAAAAGTGTTCCTGATCTACTAGTAGAGAAACGACCTTTGATCCCGTCTTGAAATTTGGCTTTAGTCCTGATATTTTTCGCGTCCGGGACTAGAGAGACCTTTAGTCCCGGTTTGTAGATCCAACCGAGACTAAAGGTCCCTGCCTAATGACTACTGCGGCAGACTTTTGCTGCAGGGGATCTTTAGTCCCGGTTGAAGCTACCAACCGGGACTAAAGGTTAACTTTTACTCCCAGTTGGTCCCTCCAACCGAAAATAAAAGTCTACTCCCGGCTAGAGGCTCCGTCCAAAACTAGAAAGGGACCTTTAGTCCCGGTTGCTGTCTCCAACCGAGACTGAAGCTTAAAACTGTAACAGACAGTCTTTTGAGTGACAGGGTGCTGTCTTCTGCTTGCATTTGTTGCCGTGCTTTAGTCCCGGTTTATACCTGCATTTGCTTGTATTTATACTTCATTTGCTTGCAATTGTTGCCGTGCTGACACTGACACTGACAGTTTGTACTAGGAAGTGACGACGCATGCTTTAATCCCGGTTATGAGTGGTGACACTGTACTAGGAAGTGCTACTGGATCGAGACGTACTTGTGTGCTTGGTATTATGAGCCGGTTACAGTTTGTTGCCCCGGTTACAGTTTGTATTAGGGAGTAGCAATTAGTTTCGGCCGGTATTACGAGCCGGGACTAAAGGTCTTTTAGTTCTAGAGGCGTTTACATGAGCCTCGATGGGCTGGCTCAACCTGAAACCCACACATAGGAGAGCATATACCAGAATGGAGCGGCCCAGTACTCAATATGCTGGAATTGCTGGCCAGTCCCACCTATTAGCACCACCTAGCTTGCTCAGAAGGATGAAAGCTAACTTAAAAGCTCAGCTCTGGAGCCATGCACCACGATCTTACTTGAACATGATCTGTTCTATAAGATCGTACCGCTCCATCCTTGACTAAAAGTCCTTCGTACATTTTAAACGTGTAGAATACGTATATTCTAGCAGCGTAGAATGCGTATTTGAAAGCCAAAACAAATCATCAATTGAAAATAGAAAAAAAAAAAAAAAAAAATGAAAGTCGGGAATGAAGGGGGTTGAGAACCGGGCATATTTGAAAGCCAAAACAAATCATCAATTGAAAATAGAAACAAAAAAAATAAAAGTCGGGACTGAAAGGGGTTGAAAACCGGGAATACAGCTCGTTTCTCTACTGTGTGCCCACTGCAACTTCCGCAAGAGTGAACGCGGACACGACCAAAGACCAGGCCATGACGACGACGCGGCTGTTTGCAGCTCGGATCGCGATTCCACCGCGGCCCACCTCCTCGGTTGTGGACGTCGATCGAGCAGGCCACAGGGTAATGCATGCGGACCTGTCTTTCGTTTGCAATGCAGACTTAGCCGGCGGTCCCGGTCGGCTGCCCAGCGCAGCGCAGCGCACACAGGCAGCCCGGAATATTCCGGGATGGCGTGGCGTGGCGGCATGCACTGCACCGGAGGAGGCCGGAGCCAAGGCAGGCAGCCTTTCGTGCCGCGCCTGCCCGGCGCCTCCCAAGCGGAAAGCGACGAAACGAAAGTGCACAGGTCGGCCGGTCCCAGCAGCGACTGTAATCGTCGTAGCTACCTCTGCCGCGCGCGCCTAACCTGCTTTTGTCTCCATTTAAGTCATTTTCCCCGTGCACCAATTACGGCACAGTTCCTAGCTAGCTAGTTAAGGGGACCATGCTCCATGCACGCATGCATGCATTTGGTTGCAATTTGCAAAGATACTAGAGCTAAGTAGCCTAGGTGGTGTGTGCTAGCTGATGGGCCGCAGGGCACGCCGTGGCATCGACGCAGGGTTACGAGCTCTCGTAGGCGTACATGCATGCAGATGCAGCTTGCAGCCCAGAGCCCAGGCGGCCAGGCAATGGCAAGGACGACGGGGCGGATTAGATTTCTGTATTAGTAATAGTCGCGTTGGGGCAATCAATTCTCGTGCAGGCAGCTGCCTACCCCTGCAGATCCTGCTTTGGCATGCTGTAATCGCCTCGCCTGCCCGGCCGGCCGTCTGGCGCCGCGCGCGGCCGGTGGCCTCAGGCAGGCAGGTCCTCGGCCGGCATCGGCAGACGGCCGGGGCGAGTGGCAACAAACAGCAAAGCTGAACCTGACCGCTGAGGTACTAGTAGCTAAGCTACCTAGCTACCTCGCGTGGTACTCCCTATCAAGTATCAACAGTAGCGACCCTGTCCTCTTCTGATAGGCCCGCTTTGTGTGAGGCCGCATGGAACAGCAGGCCCGCTTTGAAATTTCATCAGAGCGCGTTCGTTTTATTTGAGGCCGCATTGGAACAGCAGCTTTGCTTCGCAATTTTACCAAATTGTGCAATTAGTTTTTCTTTTCATCTACGTTTAATGCACCACATGCGGTCGCGAATGCCGTCAACATTCACCTGCTGGAACGCATAAGAAATTTTGGATTGGAAGTAAGATGCATATATGCACGCCAACTCGACTGAACTGGATTGGAAGTAAGATGCATGCCCGAACTCGACTGTCCATATGACAGTTCGGTTGCTCGATATGATGGTGACTGCATCCATAGCCACAGGAAAATCTACTACGAGCGATAGAGGTTTACAGCGATGTGGGCAGTCAATAAATCGGTGCCCGAAAATACTCTACGTGGCACTGTGTAACTAACTACCCCTGCACCGAACGTGTCGAAATCGCGACCACACCGGGACAGGACCAGACGGCATCGATCATGCATCAGGCCGGGCCAGTGGCCCACTGGCGGCTCTGTCCCGCGCCACCGCCTGTGCCACGATCCCCCACCACTCATTCCGCTTTTCAGACAAACAGTCGCTAGCGGCTACTGCTGCTGCCACTGCTCGCACAGTCCGGCAGAGAGGCCAGAGGGTGAGAGGGAGAGATGGTGGTGGACCCTCTCTCGGCTTTGGTGCCTGTGCGGCAGGCTGTGCCTGGCGCCTGGCCTCGGCCTACCCCCTGATGCCTTTCCCAATTTGCCCCCGCGGTGTGGCCTGGCCATTCGCCCACCCCCAAGCTGAACGAACAGCGATCAGGGCAGGCAATGAGGCAAGGCAGCCTCGCGCCGTTTGTCTCTGCTGCCCTCTCTCTCCTCCCGAGAGCATCATCATTCAAATCGGCGGGCGGAGGCAAAGGCAACAACAGATCCGATGCTTTCTCGAATCGGGCAGGTCCATCAGTCAAATCCGTCAGGGGACGAGGCAGCCGCTCCCCACCCCACGTAGTACCCCTACACGTCAAATCCAACGCCGATCGATCCGTCGGCTCGTCGTCGTCCATCACATCGAGATACCACATCGATGATCGACCCCGCCCAGGGGGGTCCTGCTGGGACCGAACCGAACCGAGCCGGCCGGCCGACCGGCCGCCACGCACCTATATAAACCTCCCTCCTCCCCTCGACCCATCCATCCATAACTCGCCCAAGCCCTTCCTGCCCCTCGCTAGCTGCTTCACACGCTCCAGCGCATCATCATCCACTCCAGTACTCCACCAAGAACGCGTGCGCTGGCTGTTGCCGCCGTTGCTGTGAGCTGCACGTACAAGCAAGAAGAAGAAGCACCATCGTCCGCGGATCTTTGCTGCTTCTTTTGGCGCCATGATGTCGTCGGTGCCGGAGACGTTCAACCTGGACCAGCAGCACCTCGTGCAGCAGCAGCCTCCGCCAGCGGAGCAGGAGCAGATCTGCTACGTGCACTGCAGCTACTGCGACACCATCCTCGCGGTACGTACGTAGATACGGCACAGGGCATAATACACACGGCGTGCCCTTGCCTTACGTGCCGCGTCGCCTGCCTGATCACGTTCCTCCGGCGGCCGTTTCTTCATTCCACGAAGAGAAAGGAAGACTCATCTCTGTATGTACTACTGCAGGTGGGCGTGCCGTGCAGCAGCTTGTTCCAGACGGTCACCGTGCGGTGCGGCCACTGCTCCAACCTGCTCTACGTCAACCTCCGCGCCCTCCTGCTGCCGCCGGCGGCGGCCGCCAACCAGCTACCACCCTTCGGCCAGGCTCTCCTCTCCCCAACCTCCCCGCACGGTCTACTTGTACGTATTGCCTGTTGCTTACTACTACCATACAATATTTATCACTAGTATTCGCAGGTGTTTCATGCTGCATGTCTGCGTTCTTTTTCGCCGTATATTATCCATGGAATATATATATGCGTAGGATGCTGAGACGATGTCGTTCCAAGCACCGAGCCTGCAGCCGAGAGCTGAACCGCCGAGCGCCTGCGTGAGCACCATCACGAGCATCAACAACAACAGCTGCGGTGGTGGCAACAACGCGTCGGCCATGTCGTCGATGGCGCCGCCGCCACCGGCCAAACCTGCACTGCATGAGCCGCAGCTGCCCAGGAGCGCAGCGTCAGGCAACAGAAGTGAGTTTTCTTATTTCCAACTTCATCGTTTCATTTGGTGCTGCACTAGCAACACACGGCTCGATCCTCTTGATGAGACATTGGGCAGTTTTTTTAATGAAAAAGAAATACCAGTTTTCCATCACAAATGATTCTTTTTAAATTAGTGGTCAAAAGTAGGACGGTGAATAGTTTGCACGTCAGCTCAATAGTGCCTTCTGTCCGTGTATGATCCTTTTCAGTACGTTCACGGTAGGGCTCTTCCAAAATCCCGACATTAAAACACGCGCAGTGAGAACTAAATTAAAGTAGAAAAAAATAAAGTGTTTAAAGATGCTAGTGCGAAGCAAAGGAGATCCAACAGTGATTTCCACGGCACCAATGAGAACAACACACAAGGTTGCCCTTGCACATGTCTGACACTATTTGATCGATATAGTTTTTATCAGTGTTAGCGACTAGCTAGTACGTTGTTCATCAGTTCTGCTAATAACTCGATCGGTTTGGTTGTGTTTCCCGCAGCTTCAGAGAAGCGGCAGAGAGTTCCTTCCGCATACAACCGTTTCATCAAGTGAGTTCATCGTTGGTTTCAAGCATAAGTTTTTCCCTTTAATTAGCATGCATGCGGCATCTATTATACTTATTGACGAGCTTGCTACTCATGTGTATAGAGATGAGATCCAGCGCATCAAGGCCAGCAATCCGGACATCACTCACAGGGAAGCTTTCAGCGCGGCTGCGAAGAATGTAACTCCTCTCTCTTTCTCATCAAATATTGTTCATAATGCTTCTTACTCTCATAAATCAGATCTGTATATACTGACTTCTATTTTCCCCTCTGTCTACACATCAGTGGGCCCATTTCCCACACATCCATTTTGGTCTCATGCCCGATCAGGGCCTGAAGAAGAACCCTATGCAAAATCAGGTAAGATCCTACGGAGAATAAACCCTAGTCGGAACTCTCAGAGCAAACACAGATATGCTGCCTGAGCAACACTTATTTTTCCTGTTGTGCTTTGTAGGAGGGAGCTGAATGCATGCTTTTCAAGGACGGTCTCTACGCAGCAGCAGCAGCCGCGGCCGCGGCCGCGCCGCCGCCGCCGCCACAGCTGCGTCCAGCATGGGCATTTCTCCATTCTGACTTCACCCCACACCGCGGAATGATCTATAGCGTTCTGCCTTTGTGCTTAGCCGCTTAGGGTTCTGTCTCGATCGGTCCCTCAGTATCCCGGTTGCTTGAGAGATGTAGCTTTAATAATGTGTATCCGATCCGGAGAATCTCGAAATGTCTCTCAGTAACCGTATATCTATATGTGTCCTCTCGTTCTACTTACTTAGGTTCCAGTTTCTTATTTTGTTAATTTATTATTATGTAACCTAGAGAGGTTGTTATGTGTATGATGCTCCTCTTATCTTATATGGACATAATTCGAGCTGGAATGCTGGATATTCAGCTGAGCATCTACTACTTCAACTTTTCCAAAGTTTTCGTCGCAAAAATACATAATTTTTTGTGAACAAAAGATATAAAATTTAGGCTATGCGTGTGCTTTCAAAAATTTTAAACTATATGGTTGCCTATTTCTATCCATAATGTTAACATGAAAAATCATATAAAATATATATATATAATTAAGTTTATTAGTCTAACAACTAAATACATTTCTAGTAAAAATGTATTTTTGGCGTTTCGTACTCGTTAAACTATGGAACTATGTAATTTCGTTACACCTGTAATGAAATTCAACTTTGGCCGTTGTGGAAATAAATAAGGTAAAATGTATTTTGAGATCTTGTCAACGCCGTGTTCTTTTTAGCTATTCGTGTAACATTCTATCTTAATGTGAAAATCGGTGCCTCGACATGAAAACTGCCCTTTAGAAAATGGTAACATCACTTTACTTTCGTGGTGACCTGGCTCTGGCATGGAGTATACCTTTACTACATTATGGGGTTTAATAAATAATTTTAAAGATATAAAAGTTGGTACTGCGTATGGTACCAAAACAGAATGTACAAACCTTAGTATTCATATCTATCAATTTTTTTACCAAAATTGATCGAGTAATACTTCTAGTTTATTTAGTGGTTTATAATGTTCAACCCATTTCTAAAAATACTAACACTTGGAAACTAAAGTGACTTCATTGTAGCAATAACATATGGTCTACTTTGAAATCAAACATTTCAAAATATATAGGACTTGGCATTGTGCATGCTGGTAAAATGGAACATTTAAACTATATATAACATGCATATATGTCGAATTCAGTAGAATTTGGAGTCTAAATGCTAATTGATTTAGGGCTTGTTTGGGAATGCTCTCTGTGTTTTTCAACTCCGCTCTACATTTCAGTCAAACAAGTGCAGCTCCACACTCATCTGCTCCAGAAAAAAAAAATGTAATAAGAGATCACCTAAAAAGTTGCCCCATAAACTCAAAGTTTTTTTATAGAGATGCTCCACGGTGAAGTTTGTGGAGCACTTCTAAACAGGCCCGACAGAAGAAAATATAATCAGGAAGGACTTTTGCCCCGCCTGAGAACTAGCGACTAGTTGTCTATTCGGTTATAATCAGACCAGATTACATGCCTATCCATCTAAGACGTGTATGCCAAACAGATGATAACCCTAGATTGAACCCGTCGGAGACAAATTGGCCCGACCTACCCCCATCTGGGGGGTGCAGTTATGGCCTTGGTGAGGATAATCGGGACACAGATCAGGTGCAGTAGTAGCTACTACTGCAACTTAAGCAGTTGAAGCATCTGAGCCATCTATGGGAGAAGCAACGGTTTAGATGATAGCCCTCCTTTCTCCTTATTTTCTGTCTCATTTTCAGTTCTCTGCTGTCAGCTACTCGTGCGGTCGTGCCACTGCTCTCCGTCCAACTGCGCACCATGGAGCCGCCGCCGTGAGGCAGCTGCGAAGTTCGGCTCCTCTCCTTCCCCTGCCGCGGACTGGGACGACATGGCCTGCGACTACTAGCCGCAAGGCGGCGCTGCTGCTCATGAGCCGCGGCCGCGGACTAGGACGACATGGCCTGCGACGCTGCCAGCCGCACGGCGGCGCTGCTGCTCATGGGCCGTGACCGCGGACTAGGACGACATGGCCTGCGATGCTGCCAGACGCACGTCGGCGCTGCTGCTCATTGGCCCATAGTGCGCGTAGAGGATGAGCTTGCCGCCGGCGTTGTCAGCGTTGGGGACGCGCGGGAACGTGAAGTTGGCGACGACGACGGTGTAGACGCGGCCGCAGCCCCAGACCCCAGTCCAGGGCTCCAACTCGCAGCGGAACCAGGGCTTGCCGTAGACATGCGTGGGCTTGGACGCGAGCCCGACGACAGCGACGGTGTAGGCTCGCGGTACGCGCCCATCTGCACGAACAGCATCGCCGAAGAGTCTGTCGACCACCATGACGCAGTGAGCCCTGACGTGAACGGTCAACGTCCGCAGCACCTTGCCGAAGCGCACCCGCACGGGCACGGTGGCCTCCAGAGTGGAACCGCCTGTCGCCGCATGCTCCGCCGCGCCTGATGATGCACCTGCACCACCGCCTCCTTCGTCGTCCTCTTCCTCGGTCCTTTCCTAGCAACTCAATGCCGCCATGCGCGCGGACAACTGCCGCAACGAGAAGGTAGTCGTCGAGTACAGCGGTGCCGGCAAGCCGGCAAGCCAGCAACGCCGCGGTGTCCTACTCCGGCGCACGCTCGTCGTGGGGCCACGGTCAGCGTTCGGCCAGCAGCCAATGAATGTGATGGTGTTCGCAGTGGCCATGACGGGCCAGGGCGTGTGGCTCACGAAGGACCTGGCCAGGCGCTTTGTGCTTGCCGCGGAGCAGGTGGCCAGCGCCGTGCCGTTGGCCGTGGAGGCCACCGTGCTTTGTTCGTTGAACAGGACAGACAAGCAGCAGGGGAGGAAGAAGACAAGAAGTATCGCTTGGTTCGCTTGGGCCGTTGGATGGTCTTTGGAAGGCTGAAAAGGTTCGACTGCATAAGTTGCAGTAACAATAGCAACTGCACTGGATCCCAGTCTGGATAGTCGAGGGTATATGTGTACATGCAGCCCGTGGCCCGATGGCCCGGCCCGTGGCCCCGCGTTTTGGCCCGGCCCGAGCACGGCACGGGCACGGTGAACGGCCCGAGGCACCAGGCTGCGTGCCTGGGCCGCCCTCCAGGCCCGCGGCACGGCACGGGCACGGCCCGGTAGTGGGCCGGCCAGCCGGCCTGCTAAGAGGCCCAGCCCCCCACACCTATACCCCCTCCCAAACCCTAACACCCCACGCCCCCCACACGGCCACACCCACCCCACCCGCGCCAGCGGCGACGGCAAGCGGCGGCTGCTGACATTGACACGACTGCGTGTCAGAGCTCATGACCCTCTCCCGGCTCCCCCCCACTGCCTGCCGGCCGGGGCCGGGCACCTCCCAGACTCAGATCCGCCCCCGAGCCCCGAGCTCCGCCTTGGGAGTGAGCTCGACAGCCCGGCCCCAGCCCCTGTGGACGCCGGACTGGGAGTGAGCTTTCGGCGGCGACGGCCCCAGCGCCGAGCTCCGCGTCTCCGCGCTGCCCCCAGCCCTGTGGACTTGTCGTGGCTCGCGAGGTCACCTCCTCTCTCTCTCTCGTCTCTCGTTTTCTGCGGCCGTCGGCTTCTCCAATCTCCATACGCCGTCGTCGTCTCGAGCTTCGGCAACTAAGCCGAGAAAGCACGCCATCGGGCGGCGGCACGGCGGCGGCAACGCAGACACGGCAACGCGTTTTGGGCCTTGAGGCCAGGCGAGGTGCCGAGCACGCCAGCTGCGCATCCGGCACGACGGCCGCGACGGCGGTGGCCCGGTGAGGCACGACACCACGTCGGGCAGGCACGGCACGCCGTGCCGCCGGGCGAGGCCGGCACGGCCCGATGGCCATCTATAGTCGAGGGCCATTAACTTGTCAGGTGGCCATGGACTTGTCCCACCCATCTAGTGATAGTCATTGTCTACTGATTACATGGCAAAAGCATGCCTCGTCAACTTACATCGCTAATATGGCAGATTTGTCAAGCCATTGCATATGGCACTGCAACTTTATCTTGTCATGCCACTTGAATTGAAATGAGTACAGGTTAGATTAAAAAATTAGAATAAATTGTTTTTAAAACAGGCTAATATGTATTTGAAGTTATGATATCATTTTCTATATATAATTTTAGCCAAAGTTAGGGTCTGTTTGGTTTGTCACCAAAACGTGCCACGCCAAAGATTCGGCTTGCCACAGTTTGTTCGGCAGCTGTTTTGTTTACTGCCACAGCTATGACACGCCGCACTTTCTTAGCACAATGCCCCACATATCATAGACTCATTTTTGTGTCAAACCTTACCACAAGTGTGGCTTCAATTTTGCTCGTCACATTTTCTGTGGCAGCCACAGTTTACTAAAGGTTAGGCGTGGCAAGTTTTAGTCATCAACCAAACATGCCCTTAATATTTGATTTACATGCGACTTAAATTGGCATGAGTAGCTTGTATTTCCAGCGTCCCAAAGCCTAGTATCTGTCTACTAGTGAATCGCCTTGATGACTGATGAGTGCCTATCCCCAACGAAAAGTACGCGCATACCCCGCGACGACAAGAAGACAGTTGCTCTACAGATGCATACAACGGCTCCATGCGGTTGTAGTAGCAAGGTAGCATCTCGTTGCGCGTGCATGGCAGGCGCGCGCCCGGGGCAGCATCCGGCGCGAGGGCCTGGTTTATATTGCAAGTTTTTTTACTCTCTCTCCATCACATCAAATCTTTAAACACATATATGGAGTATTAAATATAGATAAAAAATAACTAATTATATAGTTCGATTGTAAATTACGAGACGAATTTTTTAAGCCTAGTTAGACCATAATTGAACAATAATTGTCAAATATAAACGAAAGTGCTATATTGGAGTACTATTCTAAGCTTCAACCCTAATCGCTCAGGCCACGCAGGCGCGGACGCGGCAGGCAACAGGCGCAGGGACAGAGCACTGGCTGGCTGCGGCTGCCAAAGCCTGTGCGCGGTCCAGACAGAAGGAGTCAGTCAAGGGCGCGGGCCGCCGGGCCGCGTGAGGTGACAGTTTGGGGAGCCGAGCCGCGAGCACAAGCAGGCATGGCTGGGTGCTGCTGCTGCTGCCTACTGTATGGCGCAGTTACAAGGGCGGAGACTGGGGCACTGAGGGGGGGCT